AGAATATCTGACAGGGAGGCAACAACAAGTCATGGTACGTGATGAGGTGTAAGAGTGGGTGCCTGTGACAAGCGGGGTTCCACACAGGTCAGTCCTAGGACCTGTGCTGTTTTTGGTATATGTGAATGACATAATGGAAGGGAGAGACTCAGAAATGTCCCTGTTTGCAGATGATGTAAAGTTGATGAGAATTCAATTGGATGAGGACCAGGCAGAACTACAAAGGAATCTTGACAGGCTGCAGGCCTGGTCCAGCAAATAGCTCCTGGAGTTCAACCCCACCAAGTGCAAAGTCATGAAGATTGGGGAAGGGCAAATAAGACCACAGATGGAGTACAGTCTAGGGGGCCAGAGACTACAAACCTCACTCAAGGAAAATGATCTTGGGGGGTGAGTACAACACCGGGCACATCAATCAGATAACTGCTGCAGCATACGGGCATCTGGCAACCCTAAGGATAGTGTTCTGATACCTCAGTAAGGAATCGTTCAAGACTCTGTACACCGTATATGTCAGGCCCATACTGGAGTATACAGCACCAGTTTGGAATCCACACCTGGTCAAGCACATCAAGAAATTAGAGAAGTGCAAAGGTTTGCAACAAGACTAGTCCCAGAGCTAAGGGGATTGTCCTACGAAGAAAGGTTAAGGGATATTGGCCTGACGACACTGGAGGACAGGAGGGTTAGGGGAGACATGATAGCAACATATAAAATACTGAGCAAAATAGACAAGGTGAACAATGACACAATGGGGCACAGAAACAAGGGGTCACAATTGGAAGTTGAAGACTCCTATGAGTCAAAGGGATGTTAGCAAGTATTTCTTCAGTCAGAGTTATCAGGTAGTGGAATAGCCTAGAAAGTGACATAGTGGAGGTGAGAACCATACATAGTTTTAAGACAAGGTTTGATAAAGCTCATGGAGCAGGGAGAGAGAGGACCTAGTAGTAATCAGTGAAGAAGCGGGGACCAGGAGCTATCACTCGACCCCAGCAACTACAAATAAGTGAGTGTACGTACATGCACACACACGCACACACACACACACACACACACACACACACACACACACACACACACACACACCCTAGTGATCGACAACACTTAACCTTCCTCCAGAGTCTCAAACAAATATGATAATGTCAGAAGTACCAGTATGTGCAGGAACTACCTAAGTGCCACTAATATTCTAATATGCAGCACTGGCATGCAACCCACACCACATTCAACACCTAAGAAAAAAAAAAAGTAAAGATTTATCACCATGTGCCTTAGGCAAAAGATGTAAACTATTAGGAGAGGCTTAAAGAAATAAAGCTCGCAAAACTAAGAATAAAGGAGCCAAGGAAATATGGTTATAATATAAAAAAAATGTTCTCAAAAGGTATAAAAAATGTGGATATAAATAGTTTAAAAAAGTGAAAAGTGAACAAAGGGGCATAAATAAATAATTACCAAAAATTAATCAAAAGATATGCAAAAAATTTTCACTACCTGTAGCCCCTAAGACAGGGGCTACAGATAGCAAAATGTATACAGTAGGTCCCAAACTTACAAAAGAACTGCACTTATGATACTGGCACTTTGGAATCAATTTATGTATAGAGACTTGCTCTTCTGAAGGGCAGGCCTACTTATGGCTGTGGTAGCATCACTTCCAGTTAGCAAGACAGTATATTTGTCAAATGCACTTACATGATATGTATTTTCAGTTTTTGCATGTGGTGGTCTTATATTTGTTTGGTAAAGAATGGTAAATTCAATAATTACTATTTCTTAATGCTGCATTACCATTTATTCATTGCTACTACTCATATACTGTGTCAGCTGTGATGGGAGAGAGTGGAAGTGACAGAGGCAATTCTATTGCTATTGATCTTGTAGTGTTGTCAGAAGTGATGTGGGAGTGAGGGAAAACCGTCTTACCACTGCTGTCACTGCAGTGTTGTGCTGGTGTAATGAGAGAGAGAGAGAGAGAGACAGAGACAGAGAGAGAACAGAGAGAAGGGGCAGAGAGAGAGACAGAGAAGAGAGAGAGAGAGGAGGGGAGAGACAGAGAGAGAGAAAAGAAGAGACAGAGAGAGAGAGAGAACAGAGAGAGAGAGAGAGAGAGAGAGAAGACAGAGAGAGAGAGACAGAGAGGAGAGAGACAGAGAGAGAGACAGAGAGAGAGACAGAGAGAGAGAGAGAGAGAGACAGAGAGAGAGACAGAGAGAGAGACAGAGAGAGAGACAGAGAGAGACAGAGAGAGACGGGGAAAGAGAGAGAGAGAGAGAAGGAGAGAAGAGAGAGGAGAGGAAGAGAGAGAGAGAGAGAGAGAGAGAGAGAGAGAGAGAGAGAGAGACAGAGACAGAGAGAGAGACAGAGCAAGCAGGAGGCAGGGAATGTGAGGGATGAGATGATTAAGAACCTAGTTGAAAAGTGCTGGGATGTAGAGGAAAGCTTCATACCCAGAAGATGGGGAAACAGAAAGAACCGAGAGTCCTTGGTTCAGCCAGAGATGCAGAGAGACAAAGCAGTAAAGCATAAATGTGGAAACATTATAGAAAGCTAATGATAGACGAGAATAAAAATTGAGTAGACTTGCCAGAAATGATTATTCAAAGATGAATAAAAAGACAGAAAAAATTTGAGAATAATATAGAAGCAAAGGGCAAGTCTGAATCAAAACTGCTTTACAGCCACATAAAAAGAAAGATGATGGTAAAAGACCAGGTAATTCAAATGAAGAAAAGATGGTGACAGCTCATTAAAAATGACTAAGGAGTCTGTGAAGTGATGAACAAGTGCTTTAAAAGAGGTCTTCTCAAGAGGAAACAGGGGCAACACCAGAAAGCCTAGGGGAAAAAAAAAGAGTACACCAACAGGTTCTAGATACCATACATAAAACAAGAAAAGTGGTAAAAAAAATACGATGGAGGTGGATACTTCAAAGGCCATGAAACCTAACAAGGCGTTATCAAGGATTCTGCAAAAGGAAGCAGAAGCATTACCTGAACCAACAGCTAAGATCGACAAGAATTCAATGGACAAAGGACAGTTGCTAGAGATCTAAGACAGTGAATGTAGTCCCTATATCTAAGACCAGGTTTACTGGCATGTATACTATACAAGATAATGGAGAAGATAACCAGATGGAGAGTGGTAGAGCACCAGGAGAGAAGTAGGTTCAGAGATAACAACTCTTGTCTTACCAAATTGTTGGAATTTTATGACAAAGTAATGCAAGTGAGACAGAAAAGGAAAGAGTCGATTGAAGGCATCTGATATTGTACACCACTAGAACTGGGGCAAAACTTGAGGTGCAGGCAGGAGTAACAGAGAATGTACTCCAGTGGATTTACCCGTAAACGGTCCAAACGTATATATACGTTTTTTCAACATTTGAAAGTATGTAAAAAAAGCAGATCTTTTTGTTTTTTTTACATTTGAAAATGTGTAAAAAACTTTAATCTACTTTTTTTTTGTTATATTTGAAAATATGTAAAAAAAACGTAGATCTACTTTTGTAGCACTACACGTGAACGTAGATCTGGTTGAACCGTTTATGGGTTAAAGAGTATCTTAGGGAAAGAAAGCAAAGAGCAATTGTCCAGGAAGAGTTGTCAAAAAAGGGTAGAGTAACATGTGGGATTTTGCAAGCATCTATCTGTATTTTGATCAATATAGTTATGTGAATTTCATACCAGCTTGAGCTTTATTATGTAAAATTAATGAGAATAAAAACAGATAAGGATTGGGAACAGATACAAACTGATCTAGATAAAATGCAAGACTGGTCAGATAAGTACTTGATGGCATTCAACCCCCAACAATTGCAAGGTTATGAAGACTGGGAAAGGGGCTAGAAGACTAGACATAGGGTCAAAGACTAAAGACCTCACTCAACAGAAGGACCTAGGGGTAAGCATAGAGCATAGAATATCGCCAGAGTCTAACATCTAAATAACCTCTGCATCCAATGTTCGTCTGGCAAATCTAAGAGTAGCCTTTAGGAACCTTAACAGACACATGGCCCTTTATATAAATGTCATGTCCATCTTGCAGTATGCAGCACTAGCATGGAATCCACATCTAAAAATGCATGTTAAGACACTAGAGTAGGTACAGGGGTATGCAATTTCACTAGTGAGAGTAGTGTACCAATAGAGCTAATCTTCACACTCTAGTTTTATCAGGGGACTCCAGCCACTATGGACAAGTATGGCAAGTTTCCCATGGGAACCTGCCTGGAAGTGGAGCAGAGGCCAAGTACCATCTGCTTGTTGTCAAAGTTACTGTTCACTACAGTGAATAAGTGTGCACAACAGTGTGTGAAATTAAGACACATGTGCAACATCTGGGTATATTTATTGTCTTAATTTCATCTTGTCGGTATTATATACCATTCTTGCACAACAGTGTGTACATCATAGGCTAACGTGTTTGTTTTGGACTGAATCTATCGACATTGAAAGACAGAAGAACCTGTCAAAAATGATAACAAACAAAATACTTGGAGGAATTGATAGGGTACACAGGAATAGGCTGTCTGAGAGCTGGAAGTAAAGATACATGAGCTACAGGGATATCAGGAGGCATTTCTTTAATCTCAGGGTGGTCAGGAAGCAGAATGAGCTCGACAAAGAAGTGGTGAAGGCAAGCTCCAAACACAGTTTAGGAGCAGGTGCGATAGGGACCCAGAGGCTAAGAGGCGGGTGTATCTGGTAAACAGCAAGCTGAGAAGTTGGGCCAGGAGCTAGGACTCAACCCCTGCAACCATATATAGGGGAGGACATATAAGCAAGAGGGAGGGAGGCAAGGGATTAGGAGAGAGGGACTCATTTGGGCATTGCACATTGTTTTTATTTTTACAGGAAGAGACTGGACACGAATTAAAGTTCAAAAATGACAAAACCCACGGTAGAGGATGTAGCACTGGTTGGTTGGTAGTAAACACTGATTAGTTCACAATGAAAAAACCACAAATTTAGTGTGTACATGCTATAGCTTCCCACCTGTGAATCTCCACGAAAGAAGACATGAGGATGTGATTCTGACAAGCCTGGTGTCAAAGCAGAGCCTCCCAAAGCACATTCCCCAGATTCTGCTGACTCTGCTACTTTGGTGACTGCAAAGCGTCCACGACGTACAGGAGAACTAACAGGGCTACTGCACGTAGATGTATCTGATGCTAAAAAGAAAAAGAAAATGTACTGTATAATAAACAAATAACTAAATAAATAAATACATGGAGTAGACCATCAGATAACATACAATTTATTAACACATTTTTGCTATGACAGTGAAAAATTGTGGCATATTTTTGGTGAACACATTGTAAAAAATCAGTTTACAGAGTGGTGTACATGTAGGAAAAATGTAGCATGTGCCGCATTCTTTCTCCTGTAAAACAGTAAACCTCAGTGTGAGTTCATTGTCTTATGGGCTAGTGGGTGGGAGGGTGTGAGCTAGGGACTGAGGACAATGTACAGGGTGAAGAAGAGTGAGTGAAGTTCTGAGCAAAGCCTAATTACCATCCACACCAACCACATGTTCGTCAACGAATCCACCCATCATCCACACCACCACACACACAGGAGGCCACACACACACTACCACCAACATGGTCGCCATCACACTGCCTCAATGCTTCCAGCCTCTACCCCCACACCCCTTCACTGCCCAGCATCCTCCACCTACCAACACCAGCTTACAACTCCTGCCCCCACCCCTGCACTGTTCAGTCTCCATCTCCAACACCAGCTCCCTACCCTCAAACCAAGCCTGTTCTAACCCCTCCCGTGTACACCCTAACCACTCTAACCCCTCCATTATAATTCCATACAGTTGCAATAAGCAGAACAACTAAACAATAAGTATTTCTGTCTACTATCAGAGGATTTGTTTAACTGATGCACATCACCACATTGACCTACAAATACATTATTATCACTGTTTTTTACAATTTAGAGACATGCAAAAATTTAGTTGGCTTTATTAGGGGTCTAATGAACATAACCCTATTTTTCTTGTACTTCTGCAGTTCACTTTACACGCACTTCAATTACACACCATTTTGAGACCTGTAACTAGTGTTATCCAATGCTCAACTGTCAATACATTTTTTCAACACACTAGCCATCTTCCACCATGGCAGGGTGATCTAAAAAAGAAAAACACTTTCATTATCATTTACACATAATAACTGTTATTGCAGAGGCATGCAGATATGACAGTTTATGTCCCTCCAAACAACCAATATCCCAAACACCTTCATTAAAGTGCTGGCACTGTACTTCCCATGTCCAGGACTCGAGTTCAGCAAACTGGTTTCCCTGAATCTCTTCATAAAATATTACCTCGCTTACACTCCAACAGCTTGTCAGGTCCCAAAAACCACTTGTCTCCATTCACTCCAATCTAACATGCTCACACATGCCTGTTGTATGCCCAAGCCCCTTGTACACAAAGCCTCTTTTACCCCCTCCCTCCATCCTCTCCTAGGATGACCCCTACCCTCCTCCCCTCCACTACAGATTTATACACCCTCCAAATCATTCTATTTTGCTCCATCATCTCTAAATGACCAAACCACCTCCACACCTCCTCCTAATTTCCACACAATGACTTCTCTGCATAATATTTACACCACACATTGCCCTTAGACATGACATCTCCACTGCCTCCAGCCTCTTCCTTGCTGCAGCATTTACAACCCATGCTTCTTACCCATATAAGAGTGTTGGTACCACTATACTCTCATACATTCCCTTCTTTGTCTCCATGGATAATGTTCTTTGTCTCCACAGATACCTCAATGCACCGCCTATCTGTTTTCCTTCATCAATTTTATGGTTTACCTCGTCCTTCATAAACCCATCTGCTGACAAGTCTACTCCCAAATATATGAACACATTCATTTCTTCCATACTCCCTCCCTCCAATGTGATATCCAAATTTTCTTTACCTAAGTCATTTGATATCCTCATCACCTTACTCAACTCTAAATCTATGTTCACTTTCAACTTTCTTCCTTTACACACCCTCTCAAACTTGTTAACTAAACTTTGCAACTTCTTTAGAATCTCCCAAAAGCATAGTATCATCAGCAAAAAAGTAACTGTCAAATCTAATTTTGCATTTGATTCCCCATAATTTAATCCCACCCCTCTCCCCAACACTCTAGCATTTACTTCTTTTATAGCTCCATCTATAAATAAGTTAACACTTTCACTGTCAAGACCCCTGCTCACAAACTTGCTCTCAGTGTCAAAGAATTTAAAAAGGAAAAAAAAAAAACTTTTTTTTCTCAGGAAATGAGAGAGAGACTTTTCTCAATGGTAATGACACCAAAAGTACAAAATTTGATGGAAACCTTGCAGAATTATGCTCTCGCGAAGTTAGCAGCCTCAGCAATATTTATGCATCGGCAATTTTGCCCACTTCGAGCCCTATTTTTGGCCAATTCCAAGCCGTTGTGGTTTAACGCTTCTTTTTTATTATAATAATAATTTGGCCAATTCCATTGTTCCAGTCGACCAAACTCATAGCTATTTCACTATAGCTCCTTTTGTTCTATTGACTGAGTACAAGAAACCGCCCATTTATCGACTTCAATTACCCAATAAAGTGATCAGAAATTGGTAATTTGGCCAATTTCACACAATTCAAGGAAGGCCAATTTCAAAATAGGGTCCAGAATTAACAATGCAAACATTCCTAGTACTAAAATAACATTATCTCTGTTCATGTCTCCAGGCCCCTCTTATATTACGCTTGCTTTCAATTTTGAATTTTCATTCACACAAAAAGTAGAAGATTTACTGTTATGCAGACTACTATATATTATTGTACAAATGGTATAAATAATATCAGTGCATTTGTGAAAGCATATCAGACCCACCAGTTGACATGTATTGGACACGTGACGTGATTTGTTTACTCTTGAACATCGGCAAAAATTGAACATTTCGCTACTTTGACCTCAATTTTAAGGCACTTTTAGTCCATTCAAAGTCATCTCTAGTTCTGTAATATATCTTCTATTCTATCAAATGAGACCAAGAAAATGAGAATAAAACCATAAATACCATATGAAAATACACCGCAAATTTGCTGTTTTAACCCTTTGAGGGTTTTGGTCGTACTAGTACGTTTTACGCGTAAGGGTTTTTGACGTACTAGTACTCATAAATTCTAGCGGCCTCAAATCTAGTGGGAGAAAGCTGGTAGGCCTTCATATGAAAGAATGGGTCTATGTGGTCAGTGTGCACAGTCTAAAAAAAATCCTGCAGCCCACAGTGCATAATGAGAAAAAAAAAAACTTTGACCATTTTTTTTAATAAATCAGCGACTTTGCAGTGTATTTTCGTATGGTATTTATTGTTGTATTCTAGTTTTCTTGGTCTCATTTTATAGAATGGAAGACATATTACAGAAATTGAGATGATTTTGACTGGTTTTACAATGAAAGGTGCCTTGAAATTGAGCTCAAAGTAGCAGAAATGTTCGATTTTTACCAAACTTCAAAAGTAAACAAATCGTGCCAAGCGTGCAATACACGTCAACTGGTGAGTCTAATATTCTTTTACAAGTGCACCAATAATATTTATACCATTTTTTACACTAATGCAGTAGTCTGCATAACAGTAAATCTTATATTTTTGTGAGAATAAAAATTCAAAGTGGAAAGCAAAAGAATATAAGAGGGCCCTTGAGACGTGACTAATGACTAGAGGAAATGTCATTTTAGTGCCAGGAATGTCTTTCTTGTTTATTCTGGACCCTATTCGGAAATTGGCATCTTTTGAAATTTGTGTGAAATTGGCAAAATTGCTAAATTCTGACCACTGTACTGGATAGTTGAATTTATAAATGGGTGGTTTCTTGCACCCATTCGATAGAAAAAATGGAGTTCTAGTGAAATAGTCATGTTTTTTGTCGACTAGTACAGTGAAATTGGCCGAAAATGGGGCTCAAAGTGGGCAAAATCGCCGATGCGTAAACATCGCCGAGACCGCTAACTTTGCGAGAGCATAATTCCGTAAGTTTTCTATCAAATTTCAAACTTTTGGTGTCTTTATGATCGGGAAAAGATTCTCTATCTTTTCATAAGAGAAAATAATTTTTTTTTTTTTAAATTTGGCCGACCCTGAGAACGAGTTTCGGAGAGGGCCTGTCGACCCTCAAAGGGTTAAACGAAAAACACGGTTGGAGGATTTTTTCTCGTTATGCACACCGTGCTGCAGGATTTTTTTATACATAAGAACATAAGAATGGAGGAACATTGCAGAAGGCCTACAGACCCATACAAGGCAGGTCCCTGCACACACTAACCACTCAGACCAATTCAGACCAGCTTTCTCCCACAAGATTGGAAGCTGCTAGAATTTTGAGGTACTATTACAGGACTGACATTGGCTTGCAAGCCACATTATTATGAGACCGACAGTAAAAGGATTACACAACTTGGTGACATTACACATCCCTGTCTAAGACCTAGTTTTACTGGAAAGTAATCTTCCTCTCTCCTAACCTGAGCCTCACTATCCTCATAAAAACTCTTTACAGCACTTAGTAACTTACTACCTATTCCATACACATGCAACATCTACCACAATGATCCCCTATCCACCCTATCACATGCCTTTTCTAAATCCGTAAATGTAACGAAAACTTCCCTAGGTTTATCTAAATATTTGTTCACTTATATGTTTCAATGTAAACACTCGGTCTACACATCCCCTACCCATTCTAAAGCCTCCCTGTTCATCTGCAATCCTGCTCTCTGTCTTACCTCTAATTCTTTGAATAATAACCCTACCATACACTTTACCTGGTATAGACAGTAAACTTATTCCCCTATAATTTTTACACTCTTGTTTCCCTTCCCTTTATATAAAGGAACTATATATGCTCTCTGACAATCCTTAAGTACCTTTTCCTCTTTCATATATTTACTGAACAAATGTGCCAACCACTCCAAACATAACGTTAACACAAATAATCCACACATAGAAGAGTGAAACTTATGACAACGCTTCAGTCCGATTTGGACCATTATTTAACATAACCTAATCCAATGTAACCTAAACTAGAAATGTGCTGTAAACCCTATGTGAAAAAGTGAAAGCTGTTATGAGAATGGATTGTTTTTTCAGTACAAGTACTAAGCAAATTAAAAACTTACCCCTTCTCACTGATTCTTCAACAACCTTCGTCACTTGGAAGCGCGAGGTTCGAGTCTGCTTGTCAACCTGTTCTTCAGAGTCTAATAAAGAAGGTGTGCGAGACAGGGGTATAGTACTCTGTAATGGTGCAGGGGATACTCCAGCAGACCTCCATGCATAAGCTTCTTCAGAGCCTACTGTATTAAACGCAGAAGCTTTTTCTAGATTGAGAGGCACCATGGTTGAATAACCAAGCGTTGAAGGACAGCGACCTTCCATCATAACTTGTGGAACTAAGGCCACAGTCTCCCCTCCCGGTAATCTTACAGTGTGTGGTAAAATCATGCTTGTGTCTACTGATCCATCCAATGAAGTGTGCAGTCCTTCTCCATGGCCCATTGGCATAATATCATCTACTCTGTTTGATCCCATCACTGTGAGTGGTATGCCACCAATAGCTGATGGCTGTGGGTACACTGGCTGTAGACCATCAATGGAAGGAGATCCAGTGGTAACACTTTCCTAAAGTGCAAAAAATTTTAATATTTTTATTGATAAATGTAATACTTATCTAAGGCCTATATGAGACCTATTTTAATCATAGTTGTATTATAAAATTAATATACAGTGGTACCTCGGGATACAAACAGCTCAAAACGTGAACAGTTATGCAAGTGTATTTATGTAAGTGCTTTTGTAAGTGTATTTTTGGGGGTCTGAAACGGATTAATCTAATTTACATTATTCCTTACGAGAACAAATTCGTTCGGTATCAGTACTCAAACAGCCTTCTGGAAACAAATGAGTTCGTATCTCGAGGTGCCACTGTACCTGCATTACCATATTATCTTATTATGATCATGCTTATAGTAATCAAATGAACTCAGTTTTTTTTTTTAAATAATACACTAGTATCAAGAACAAAAGCTCTAGTATGTCACCTTTTGTTACAAAATATATAATATTTCAGTATTATCAAGTATAGAAAATACACAAATCAAAAATATATTATGTGCTCAAAATGTACCTCAGTGTCATGGTGGGCCAATGTTAGGCGGGCACCAGGCACAAGCTTCTGCAATTGCTCTCTAAGAGCATTTAAATCCATTCTGCTCCTCTGGCCTGAACCTGTGGGCACAGCCAACATCACTCCATGATGAAGACCTAATGTAGCTCCAGTCATGCTCATACCTGCAATATTAAATAAATATATATAAATATTGAAAGAGGGAAAGGTACCTAGGGATTGGTAGACAGCATCTCTAGTTCCTTTACATAAAGGGATGAGGGACAAAAGTATGTGTAAAAATAATAGGGAAATAAGCCTATTGAGTATATCTAGGAAAGTGTATGGTAGGGTCATTATTGAAAGAATTAGAGGTAAGATAGAGAGCAGGATTGCAGATGAACAAGGAAGCTTTAAAATGGGTAGGGGATATGTAGACCAAGTGTTTACATTGAAGCTTATAAGTGAACAATATTTAAATAAAAGTAGGGAAGTTTTTGATGCATTTATGGATTAGAAAAGGCATATGATAGGGTGGATAGGGAAGCAATGTGGCAGATGTTGCAAGTGTATGGAATAGGTACTAAGCTACTAAATGCTGTAAAGAGTTTTTATGAGGATAGTGAGACTCGGGTTAGGGTTTGTAGGAGAGAGGGAGAATCCTTTCCAGAAAAAGTAGACCTTAGACAGGGATGTGTAATGCCCTCATTGTTGTTTAACATATTTATAGACAGATACAGACAGACATACAGACAGACACACACACAGACAGACACACACACACACCACACACACACACACACACACCACAGGAGCTATGTAGGCAGGGCTAGGAGCTATGGCTCTACCCCTGCAACCACAAATCCAATACAGTTAAAGAAGCAGTTACTCTCTAACTGCTTCTTTAACACAGTTAAGGTACGAACAGATGTCTTCTTGGAGGGGCCAAGCCGAGGTCTGGCAGACAGTAACTCAACACCGCCACCAGCCTTGAAATCCTGCACCCAGTTCCTCACTGAACGCTTACACACACTAACATTCTCCACTATTTCTTTCGTCTGGTGCCCAGCTTTATGAAGCTTTATAGTTTGAGCTATAGTTTCAGGTGTTAAAGACTTTCTTTAATCCACAATCAAAGATGCACAGCCCCAAAACCAAGGGAACACTGGACAAAAGATGAGGCGGATGAGACAAAAGTGTAACACTTCCTCTCACCACGGCAGCCATATGAGCAATGAGAAATCACTGTGAAGTGTGGCAGAAGTCCGTCACATCATGCTAACAACTGCTACCCAGCGGAATGCACTAACGAAAAAAGAATCCCCTGGTAGGCCTTTGATTTTCATCACAGCATTATGCCAAGGTGTTCACCCAGCATAATGCCATGATGAGCATTGTACACACACACACACACACACACACACACACACACACACACACACACACACACACACACACATGTAGACACAGGCCAATTGACATCTCACTGTGACTTGGGAGCATTACCCACTCATTTCCCTACATCTCTCTCTCTCTCTCTCTCTTTTTTTTCACAGGGTTTGACAAGGTTAAGGATCCCTAGCTTTACTGACAAGCTATTTACAGGTTAAGGATTCCTAACTTTTTTGAAAGGCTAAGAGCTGTTACCTACATCAGCTCATTTGAAAGCATTTTTTATTGTTATGAGACATACAAGTGGGGAACAGGATGAAGTTGGAGCCATCTGTGAACCAGCATTTTCATCTGATCAACTGACTATCTCGTTGACATCATAATGCTGTACAAATATGTTCCATACTCGATTCATCCTGGGGATAAATGATCTCAGATGAAGTGATGTTCTGCAGAAGGGTACAGCCAGAGTGAAGTTGATGCTTTCTGCCTGTCTTGTAGTATAGAAGCTTGCTTCACGCTGTCCTCGAAGTGGATCCAAGTGTAGTACTTTGACAATATTGGCCTTGTACATAACAGTAAGGCCACCCACATCCCTCCTGTGTTGAAGGGTCTGCTGAAATGACAGATCTATCCAGGATTGGTCCAGGCAAGAGATGAGACATCTTGCTCTGTTCTCTACTCTGTCAAGCAGTTGCAGATGAGAGGGGGGGACAGGCAAACCAAGGAAGTGGAGCATACTCAAGGTGTGAGCGTACTTGTGCCTTATACAGAATCTTGCAACCCCTAATGTCAAGCAGATGCGAGATACTGGCTGCCTTGTTTGCAAGATTTATGTGGGTCTTCATGGTCAGTTTGGAGTCAAATTTCACCCCAAGGATATCAACTTCCCCAGGTGCCAAGACCCTCCCATTCATCCTTACTACTGCACTGGCATTATCATCATTTGTGTTTTCTCAGGTGCAAATGTTACTTGCCATCTATTTCCCCAAGCTGATATAGCTCTTAGCTGGTGATTGATGTAGGTTAGAGCAACTGGCATTTCTTATCTTGGATAAGTGAATGTCAGTGTACAGTCGTCTGCATATGCATGGGATTCTGGGATGAGATGAAGAAGGTCATTGACGTAGACATTCCATAACAATGGTCCCAGCACACTTCCTTGTGGAACACTTGCCCCAATAGAATGTCTTGCTGATTCCGTTCCACTGAGAACTACCCTTAGAGATCTACCATGAAGGTAATCACTGAGGAGACGTAGCGTAGAGCCTGCAATTCCCAGATCTTTCAGTTTTGCTAAGGGACCCTGGTGCCACACCTGGTCAAACGCACCAGTAATGTCCAGTGCTACCACTGGTGCCACTTAGTGGAGATGTTTAACAACAGGTCAGCAGCAGAGTAACCTTTCCAGAAGCCATATTGATGGTCACAAAGTAGTGAGTGGTAGCCAAAAAACTCTGTCATTTGTCTTGAGATTATTGTCTCAAGGAGCTTGCCAGTGATTGACAACAGTGACACTGGTCTGTAGTTGCTGATTTCTGCTCTGCTCTTCTTTTTGTGAACAGGGACTACATTTGCCTCTTTCCACAGAGAAGGCCATTTACACTGTATTAGGCAGTGCTGAAAGATGTGAGTTAGAGGTGCTGCTAGCTGGTCTGCACATCTCAGCAATCTTGGGCTCAACTTGTCTGGGCCCACAGCCTTTTCTTAGTCAAGCAATTTAAGAAGGAAATGCACCTCCTTCTGTCTTAATGTCACCACTGACAGTTTTGACACAGTTCTTGCAGCTAGCCAAGGAGGATCCCTTGCTGGATCAGGAACTTGCATTTTGGTAGCAAAGTGTTTGGCAAAGAGGTTCGCTTTCTCTTGACTACTAGTAGAGGTGGTCCCATCCTGTTGATTTAGAGATGGAATGAGTTCATCAGGCTATCATGTCGGATAACTTTGTCTGTCCTTGACCAGGAACCACTAGGTTTTGGAGCCTACCCTACCTGATGCTAGCTTTCTTTTTGTGTCCATCTCCCATTTAGCGATGGCCCACTTTTGAACGTCACCCATATGCCTACCGGGTTGCCTGTGCAAGTTCCTGTTATAGGTGGTAGGATGCCTCTCATACCTTCGCCATGCCTTGTACTTAGCAGTAGCAGCCTCTCTACAACAAAAGCCAAACCAGGCTGATCTGTAGGCTTCGTCACATATTGCCAGTGAGGAATGTGTTCATGGTGTAGATTAAGGATGTTTCCAGTGAAGGCTTTCATTTGGTTGTCAGCACCCCCTTGGAGAAGAGCATTCTAATTGGTGGCGAGCTCAGAGCAAAGGGCTGGCCAATTACCGCTTTCCCATAGCCAGGTTGTGCATGTGGACTCCTCACCTCGTTCTGTTGGGATCTTAAGTATCGTAAAACAGCCTTGTGGTCAGATAATCCAAAGTAGCCGAGGGGTTGACAAGTGACTGTACCTTCCGTCAGATCACTCACTACTGGGTCACGGGAGGAGCCAGAGATGTGAGCCAAATACCGCAAGAAGGTCATCAAAGTCCCTCTGTATAAGGTGTTTGTTGAGGTTACCAACAATTATGATATATCTTGACAGTTATTTTGTAGCAGAAGGGAGTCCACATTTTCCATTAGGAAGTTGACAGGGTCTGCATGTTGCCACTGAGGTCTGTACATTGCACATGCTAGTACAGAGGTACTAGTGTTTATGCATAACTTGAAGAGCATCATTTCAAGATGAGTAGGGATGGCAACATCAATGTGCTGGGCATGTACACTTTTAGAGAAGCACACAGCAATACCTTCTCCATGCCTGTCTCTTCTCATTCATGAGGTGTAGCCAGCAATTCTTGCAAAATATTCTGGAGTCCTGTCGTCCAAAAATGTTTCAACAACAGCTATCATGTCGGGACATCGAGTGTTCACAAAACTGTGCGAGCTCTCCAACATTAGTAATGAAACCTCTAATGTTGGCTGACAGGATGCTGATAGACTGGCTCCTCATGATGTGGTCAGCTTCAGGTGGTGGGTGTGTAAGGCATGTTAGGTGCCTGCCCTAGAGAGAGGTAGGGCACTGAGGCAGCTGCAGGGATGTAGGTCTGTGGTCCTGTATAAGGCCCAATACCACCTGCTGCACTGAGATAGGAGTAGCTGAGTGGGTGACGTGTGTGTGTGTTCACCAATTCAGAGATCCTGCTGGTTTGTTCCAAGAACAGGTTTCTAAACAGGTGGTCCTGTCTGTCAAGTTCCTTTTTCTTCCGACACTGGTCCTCCTGATGTCCTTTCTTGTGGCAGTAATTGCACCTGGTATCTCGCAGGCAGTTGTTAGTGATGTGCCCCTTCTGGTGACAGCGAGAGCACTGCCTAGGTACCTAGGAGGGTGGATATTTATTTGTTGCACCTCCTGTGTTTTGCTGATTTGTCCACAGGTTCTGCTGCTGGGACTGTGTTGGTGGAAGGTGAGACGGCTGTAAATGTCTTCCTCCTCCACATCCTCTTCCATGTCCTCTACCACATCATCTACCATGCCCCTATGCAGTTCTGACAGATGTGTCCCTGCTGTTCGTACTTTGGTGAAGTAGGTGTTTAGGTGCAGTGATAGTTCCCAGATTATTAACTGCACCAACCTCTGGTGGAGAAAATCCTGACTCAGTACTTGCTGATGAAGCACTGCTGCCAGATGTTTAAATAATGTCAGCAGGTGTGCTGACAGGTGTAGGATCAGAGATGGTATGTGCACTGTCTAGTGTACTGGCAGGTCCTGAAGCAGAGATGTCAGGTGTAGGAGGATTAACAGAG